GAAACCGGGGCACCGAATTAGAAGTTAGATTTCTTCCAAAATTTTGTCCGAAATTCATTTTTTTTTTTTTTTTTTTTAAATTTGACATTGTCAAAACATGAAATTATCGCCATTTAAAATACCCTATAATTGTAAATATATGATGACGACCAGCGGTTGCAAAAATAAAGGCCGCGTAAGAGGATTATATATATACACTTTTGTACTGGCGATTGGAACAAAAATGGGAGTTGGGCAACTAGATGGTAATAGCAGACCCACATACAAAATTTCAGTGTCCTATGGCTAATCGTTTTTGAGTTATGCTAAATACATACGTCTCGAAAAAAATCCATTTTTAATCCATTTTACAATCGTTTTCAAAAAACATAGTCCTTTACTCAGTCCACATGCACAGATGGATTCCGAAACAGTCAAATTGGGTATTTCTATTGAAATATGATACCCGAAACTTTTCGCGATTGCAATATTTCTTTTACTTTGCGCAAGGCACTAAAAATGCGAGAAAATGAACAATATATCTTCTTTTTGAGCGTTGAAATAACAAAGATGTTAAAGCACAGCATCTTGTACAATGAACCTTGGGTCAAAACTACGAACGATACAGATGGGCAGAGTAGTGAAAATTTAATTTACTCTTCGAGCACGGAGGAGGAGGAGCATAACATGATGGTAAATGTTACACGAGCGGAAAGACGCCGGAAAACTAATTTTGCAACAATCGGATAAGGTTTACTTACAAGAATAACCAGCCGTAAAAAATAGTAAATAACAAAAATGGAAGAAAATTTTCTGTTTTCTCGTTTAGCTGCCAGGTATTCGAATGGTGATGCTGCCCAACATATTGGTTTCGCAAAGACCAACTTAAGTCTCGCATAAACCTTGAAAAACATTTTCCTTGAAAAGAAAAATTACATATTGGTACTTAATTGAAGGCAAGTACCTTCAATTTAAGTCACATCATTAAGTCATATAATTTAATTTTCATGATTTTCTTTTGATACGATTTTATATATATTTTCATGATATTCTTTTGACACGAATATGGGCCAGTGCCTTGGAAAGCTTTCAACAAGATGGAAGGCTCATTACGAAGTGAAAAATAGTAGTGATTTACGATTTCCTTCTTGGGGAGTACTTGAGTGCTTTACATTAGACACCGCTTAATGTGATTGCGGTTAATGTTATTATTCGAATATTCTTATCGATTTCAGCTGTTTGTATACAAAAAAATGAAAAATACACCGCTTATTGTGATCAACGATTCAGTTAATATGAGCAAACTACTACAGAACAAGTTTATCAAACTAATTGCCAACTAAATGAAATCGTCAAATAAAAGATAATAAGGTCAAGCTACTTTAAAAAATTACCAAGTGACAAATAAATATCGCCAAGGGAGGTATTAAATTGCCAGATAGCTTGGTCTTGATTTCAGTCGATTTTGAGGACAATGAGGTTCAAGTCTTTCTTCTTCACGAACAGAAAGAAAATGTTTTCCTAGAACTTCCTTTTTTGTAGAAAATAAAATTCCCTAAAAACACCTACGACAAAATCAGGTTGCTTTTTTGCTTAATTTCAAATTTTATATTGGTATGTTCTCCCTCAGTGAGGGATGCCTTCCAAGTATTATTATTATTATGGGTACAGAATCGGTCAAATAATTTGCAGAATCGCTAAGTACAGTTCATAAATGAACTTTTGTATTAAAAACATTATGAACAGGTCACAAACTTTTGCATTTCTCATTCAAAATACTGTGGAGTAGTTATGTATTTCTAATTCTATTTGCATTAAATGAGTTAAATTTTATTGTTGTGTTAAAGATTATTTGTTAACGTCGTTTATTGTCATCATTCGGTTAATATTATCAAAATAGCCGTTGACTAACATGATCCCATTAAGAGGGCCTACCGTATGTGTAATTCATTACTGTCATTAGAGTCATTACTATCAAATTGGATTGCTACATCAAATTCGAAAGCATTTGTTGCTACAAAACTACAAGATAATTACTTCTATGCCAACACAAAATGTTTTGATACAACAAATTCCAGTTTAAGTCCTTTGAATCTCAGCAAACAAATCGGACTCTTGAAATCCTTGAAAATGAATAGCCAGTGACGTAATGGTGCTTTAGTAGAGTTTTCAGATTGCCATTTTTTATTAAATAAAACAACAGAAAAATGGCGGACGAAGACATTTCTCGGTACTGCTCTGTTATCGGGACCGGATATGAAAGTATGTGTATATGTTTACACACACATATATTCATGCTTCTTACATATATACATGCATACATGCATACATACGTATATCTCTGGATCCGTTCCTGATAACAGGAACAGTGCCCAGATTTTCTTTGGCAGATAGTTCTCACAAGCTTTAAAGCAACTTATCATATCTGCCTATTCCCCCGTAAAATAAATAAACAAACAAATCAAATTTTAAAATTTTCTGAAAGTGTTCAGATTTTTAACGATCGTCGAAGGGGCTAAGTTTACTATAGAGATTATCAGCAGATATGACCGAATGTTTAATAGGAACAAAACATATGGGATATTAGATGAATGTATATTTAGACTAACATAGGAACGTTATATATCTTATGTCTATTTGAAAAGTAAAAATGTATGTATTCTAATTGCGTAAAAATATTGAATTTTTTTAATTAGAGATCAAGAATTAAATGCATTTTCATTTAAATCAATCAGATTAAAAAGTAGAAATAATAATATTCTTAAGAACTCTAGCTATTCCTTTTAAACAGTTTATCAGCAGACAAATTAGATATGAAAGAATAATATTTTAGGTTTTTTCGAATGAAAAGTGAAGTAAGATGAGAATGTTATGCATCTTCTATATGTCTGAGAAATAAAGAAATGTGTAATGTAATTCTATAAAAATATTTAATGCTTTTAATTAGATATATCATGAATTAAATACATTTTATTGAAATCAGTCAGATAAAAAGTAAAATAATATTTTTTAAAACTGCATCTATTGTTTTTAAAGAGTTTACTTTTTTAATTAATAAGAGACAAATCGAATATGAAAGAATAATATCTTACAATTTTAAGAGACTCAGAAGATTTGAATGATAAGTTAAACAATGCAAAATGTTATTGTCAAACTAATAGCTCTTTTGGGCTGGAAACTAAATGAAATCAAACAACAAACCTGCAGGATGAGGAAACCTGAAACCCGCTTTTCTCTTCCTATAATCCATTTTTTTCTTATCAGATGAAATATCAGATATAGCAAATCAAATTTTCGATGCCTCTAAGTTCTTCATTTAAAAGTTTACTACTGCCTCTTAAAACGGACCGAATTCAGTCTCTGTCTAAAATTTGGCTTATAGAACTCCTGTATATTTCTCAATCTTCAGAAGTTTCAAATGTAGTCTTTTATTTCTACAAATATTATATAAGGTTTGCAAGAAATTAATTTTGTTTTTTAAGTGAGAAATAAAACTCAATTTTTCTATATAAAAAATTAGCTTTAATTATCGAGACATCTTCCATTCTGTTCGATGATCTTTTGCCATCCATCTTTCTGGTAACTGTGATTCTGCGCTCATAGAACTTCTGGTCTTTATCAGCAAAACACTTAAACATGTGCGATTTGAAGTCATCGTTATTACTAAGATTTTTACCAATTAAGAAGCCTTGTGAGCTTCGAAATAAATGATAATCTGATGGTGCAAGATGGGGGATTACTTTTCAACCAAGTTACATAATTCTATACGTGTTGCTTAAGATACACGAGGCCTCGCATCGTCGTGGTGGAACGTTGTGGTGGTTCCTTAGCGGCCTTTTTTCTTTGCTTGCTTCTTCCAGTTTCATAAGTTGCTGGCAGTAAACATCTGAGGTAATCATTTGGTTGCTTGGAAGTAGCTCAAATGGAAAACACTTTTGTAATCCAACCAAGTTGACAGCATGATCGTTTTCTGATTAGAGATTTAAGTTTTGTCAATGAAAAGAACGAAAAAAGTCTGAATTCAGATTTTAACGCCGCATCAATGGATTTATTAAGATTTTTTATGCTTTCGCATACATTAACAATCTTCTCTTGAACTCACTCGAGCTAATTGTTTTTTAATGTGTGTGGTTGTGTGAGTGCGTGTGTTTAGTTTTATTATTAAACATCACTTTCTGAATACTTAAGCCAAACAAAATTCAAGAGAACAAAATCACAAAATATTTGAAAACAACATAACTTTAGAATTCCTGGTAGAATGTGAGGGGTTGTCCTGAACTGTATATGTATTCGCAATATTATACGATGATTTTAATGAGCTAGGGTCATTTCCTAAAAACATTTGATACTTCTAGTTAGATCTCTCCTAATTTACGTGCACTTTTAATTAAATCATACAAATTAAAAATTAGAAAAACATTTTGTTTTCTTCTATTCTAAATACCCTTTACTGAATGTCAATACGCTGGTGCGGTGCGTAAAGATAATAAGTATTCTATTTGTGACAGTGACAATTACTTTTAAATAGCAGAATTAGGGGATCAAAACTGAGAGATGAATATCTTACATTTTTTCCGAATGTCAAGAGTCTGGCGCTCTGGAGATAAAAATGTTTTATTTCGAACAGTGTTGCCATTTCTCGCTCTTCAAATCGTTGATTTTGTTAAACAGAAATTTTTCAAATTCATACAAAATGCGAAATAAATAGAAAAAGAATTAAAAATTCGAAGCTCGGGGTGCCCATGTTTCGATGCAAGACTAAGTGTATTCAAAATTCGATGGTGCCGTCGTTTTTTTAGAGTGCGAGAAACATACATATATCCATTTTATCTTTATTTTTATTATTTTTTTAAAACAGAACATTGCGATAACATTTGGTGGCAACAATTTGAAAAATGGTTCATACTCAAAAGTGATACGGACAAAAAATGCGATTCGAGACTAGTATTCGAGACTATACTAATAAATAAATACTTCACTTAAATAGTCACTAACCCTTGAATAACTATAACATTTCTCACCTGCAAATATAGAATATATCCACATAACTGCAATTAGGGTATATTTGGCCATATTCTGTCCAATCATTTCAGAGTACTTGAGCGAACTAATTTGTTGATATTCAGATATAATTTTAATGCGTAGATACGCAGACGTATATTATTTTTGGAATTATGAAAGTATCATTTGCTTATATAGCTGCAGAACCACCATTCTTTCATTGTTTCTGCACTTTTATTTCAGAATTGCAGTTTTTCATACTTTTGTCTCAAAATAATAATACTTTTTTTTTTTTGTCTCTGCAGATCCGGACTTTTTTTATGACAGTTTGGGTAAATCCTATTAAAAATACATACGTCTCATTTCCCTAAACAAGAGTCGCCAAAATTGCATCACCAATTAGAAGGTTCACTGTAACCGCCAAATGTTTTGCAGGAAAGGACCAAATGAAATACTAATATTTTTCCAAAATCTTTTACTGTCGTCTCTTTCTCTTCCAAATTCCGTTTTGCATTGAAAAACAAAATCGATAAAATTTTGAAAGGTCTTAATTATTTAAAATATCTGAAATTTTTAGAATAAGATAAATCTCATTCTCTCCGCTTCCTTTTAGAATCATTTAAGTGGTACTTTTCTGCTTATCAAATGTAACGATAACGCTTTCGTTCAAGGTTTGGAAGGCTGAATTGGTTTTTGTTTTGAATTTCCGCTTCTACTGATGGGATAGAAACAAATGAAATTAATTGCGAAAAGTTCACGTCCCACTTATATCTTAATAATTAACGTGAGAAAAAACCCTTTGTTGTCAAAATAAAATTAAGAGAAGGACATGGGAGAACTAGTTAAAAAAATGGCTCGCAGTTTGATTTAAGAGATGGCCTTAAATTGAATGAATATAGAGAAGCTATTTTAAAATTCATCTTTCGCAGAAGCCTGATAATATTTTGCAATAACAATTCTGAAGACGATTTTTTTCAAACTAACTGAAAGAAAATGAATTATCTCACAAAAAAAGCAGTGTTAGCTAGAACTTTTGCTGCCAGAGTCGGTTCTGATTTGCCGCCTGGGGCGGCCTCTGAACCTGCAGCTTCTCTTGATAGACAAACAAATAATTACGAACAAGTGTCAAAATGACACGTAGGGAAATAAATTAAAAACCTACGTTATTTTCGAAGAAGAACTTTAATTCCAGGGATTTAAATTTTTTTTTCATAAAACTATCAGTGATATTGTGATGTTGCGTGGCCCCAACTTG